AACAAATTTAATATTGAAATTAAACTTGGATGGAAAGGTTAGACAAAATCTTGCTATATCAAGATTTTTTGGGAATAATTATGTTTTAGGGGCCCTATGTAAGTGAGAAGAGAATGCTTAAAATTTTAGGAAGACGTTATATAATTGCACTATAACGTGATCTGCCCCTGACTATGAGCTTATATCAATACATATTTAACTGAAAATTGATTATTTCTTTGTAAAACCGGTTTTTTACTCTTTTTTAAAAATCCCAAAATACTAGTCATCAAAATATTAAGCTTTCAGCCAACATAAGCATTAATAAAATAAAATTATGCCCATTTTAGGAAGTATGCATACAAACCATGGTAAAAATAGTAATATTAGTCATCCAAAAAATTAACCCAAAATTTTCATTTCAAGTGATGTGTAATCCAATGTGATATTAAGGATGCGTATGGTCTAGGAAATGGTGTATTATTAGAATATTATATTAATGAAAAGATAGATTACTTTGAAAATTATTGAGAATATTAAGGGAAATGTGCTTGGTTGATTGGAATAAATAGATGGATATATTATATAAATTACTAAATTATCCTCCTTTTTAAATATTAATATAATATTAATTTTCTTATTATTTTTTGAATCATTTTTTTAGCTCCTTACATTTTAGATTTAGCTAAAACACCTAAACTACAAAAAAAGTTTAAAACTTAACAAAACACCCCAACCACCATCCCAGGATTGTCAGTCGCCAGTGGTTGTCACCAACAGTTGCTTGAACGGCACATGGTTGGCCAGCTAGGCATCGTTAAGGATGTTTCTAGATAGTTAGATTTGGACATTTCATAGCCAAGGCTAGATCTTTGGCCGTTTCACGGCCATAATGGCCATAGATTTGACATTTTCACTACCAGATCTGGCCATTTCATTGTTTGCCATTTTTGGCCATGGATCTCAAAAAATGTCCTTATCAACACACGATTAGCTAGATTCGGCTAGCCGTGCACTATTCTGATGACTGCTGGTGATGGTGATCGACAGTACTTAATAGTCTTCTTGGGTGGTTGTGGTCTTGGGTAATTTGGTTGAAGAACAAGGGTAATTTTATCTAAAAAAATCTTGAGTATAAGGCTAAAATTGTCCATTAATATACTATAAATTGTTTAGATAACAGGGGTACTACTGTCCTAAAATAAAATTAATAAGGGGTAAAATTGTAACAAAATTAAGATTTCCAAGTAATCTTAAAATACCTAAGAAAATAGAGGTAATCAGATTATCTCTCATATGACCAACAATGATTACTATTGGTTTTGAAAGATAACCGGAATCTTTTATTACCTAACAACCAAACGTGGTAATCTAGTAATATAAAATGACATCACCTCAGTATTCTAAATAAACCTCCAACCAAACACTAGCTAAGAGTTAAATGGAATGGTGAGTAGGTGAATGACATTACATTACCAAATAAAATAATTAGTAATGCAGATTTTGGGATGTGTACTATATAGTAGTACTCTTGTAAAACATTGGCGCGCCAGCATGCAATAATATATACAAATTAATTCAGAAAAAAGCATAAGAAATTTAGAAATAAAATTTATCAAGCACATATAAATTTTTGTCACAACTTATTATTCCATAGTACAATTATAATTGATTACATTTATCAGGTCAGTACCCTAATAAAAATGACAATATAACCTCTCCCCTTGTGGCCGGATGGCAAGCCCTTTAAACACTGGGGTTGGCTATATCTAGGGGGTTTCGTGTGCAAGTCATGGGAGAGACACCTACCACATTTGTGCAATTATCTTAGTTTATCGGACTTATAAGGTGTTCTGTAGCCCTAAGGATTAGGAAAACTAGGTTGGTAATTGTGCCTAGATACCTCAGTTATTAAAATTAAAAAAAAAAAAAAAGACAATATAACTATGTTTGTAGAGTCTATAGCGAAGGCAGCTAGAACATGGACCATCAATCAATATTTTGTTTGCTAATTTCAAGAGGATCAATACAGAAATAGCTACAATAATAGTAATAGCAACAAGTAACAAAACAAGAGACTAATTTCAATATTATTTTCTTGCTTTTCTCATATTGTAGAATATTCATATTTGTCAAACTTGACCCGTGTGTGCACAACAGTTTTATGTGCACACTAGTTGCTAATCTTATGACTTGGCTTATTTCTTATGTTTTGTGTGTGCACAACAGTTTTATGTGCACATTGGTTGTTAGATTTATGTCTTGGCGTGTTTCATATCGAGTGTGTATGCATAACAGTTTGTGCTTGCACGAGTTGCATATCTGATAAAGTGGCAAATATATTTGTTTATCTTTGTTGCTACCTTTTTAGGACCTTGTACATGTGTCATATTATCCTTAAGTGGTCTGTTGTGTGGTCCAAATCAAAAGAATGAATACTTTCCTTATTTAGACAAACATGGGTCAGCCCCTTGTTGGTTGACGTGGCACAAATGTGTTGAGCAAGAAACCCTACACTATATAATATCTCTTCTTATGTGTTTGAATCTAACCTTTTGCTCTTTTATTCTTCTTTGTACTCTGAAATTTCTTAGAGTACATTTCTCTTAAAAGGTTCATAAGTTCATTTCATTTTTGTGTCAAAACCTCACCATGTCTGCCTTTCGTGGTGTAACATTGCATTTTACTATAATAAAAATGTATCTGCTTATCATCTCTTTTTATTTTGTTTAATTTATTTTTAAATTTAAGTCATTCAATCATGTTATAATATATCAATACTTTATATTGAAAGTTTAAGTATAACCAAGTTAATTAAACTCTTGCGGAAATTGTTGATTGTGTTCATCGGTGCTTGTGAGTATAGTTAGTCAACATATTCATCATATCAACCTGGGTATGGTTATTCAACATATTCATCATATCAACCATGAGTAAAAATAAAGCACACAAGCATATATATATGGTTTGGCTAATAGCCTACATTCATGGGACCAACTCTAGACGAAACAAATCCATTATAGCAAACATTCAAGGTTCATTACAAAATTGAAGTTAAATAAATAAATGTAAAACATTCCCTGTTTTCATAACACTCTAACTTCACCCTTTGGAAGATCCACCGTCTTGGCACAACTTGCTTGAATGCAAGAAAGCTCTTGGATAGCTCAAGCTCCACTCAAGCTTCAATTCCGAAGACAAAGTTTAGCTCCACAACTTGAAATCCCTTCAAGCTTTCATAAATGGAACCATGTTCCAACACACTCAAACAACCAAGATTAGATAAATATTTTGAGGAATACAAACAACAACGGAACCTAACCTAAGATGAATAAAACTTCTAAGGATTTTCAGAGAACAACAAGAGGAATATTCATGTTCAATCGTAAATGCAAGGACGTAAAAGTGTATAAAGAATCATTGTGCAAGAAACCCTTAGACAACCAGCCGACAAAGCCTTACATATGTTTAGCCATTTAAAGAAAGTTTCAACAACTTGTTAGGACCACTTCTAAGAAGCAAAAAAAATTTCCAAGACCACATTTGAAATATTTGACACCTGTATTTAGACCACTCACACATATTTCAACCCTGGATAAAATCCTAACAGCCAATGACAACTCAACATCTGTAATTGGACGACTGTTTATATATCTAACTCTAATGTACCACATATCTTTCAATAAAATCAAACTAAGGAAATGTGAATATACATGATTGAGTGTAACCAAATAAATGTGTAAACATAAAAAATGAATGTGTACACATAACTTCATAAGTTGACAAAACTAATTACATATATAAATAAATTTATATAAAAAGTTTATTATATAATGTTATTCTAATAATAATATATTAAAGCAAAATTATGTCCATTTTAGCATGTAGAGAACTGTGAAATTTATAAAACACCTACTAGTTTTTGTCACAACTCATTATTCCATATTACAATTATAATACTTATCAAAACTGCTCCACAAACATTTTATGCGGTTCAATACCGGATTAAAAAAGGATGAGGATTCTTTCCTAACTTGAGCTTTACCTAAACTATTTTCCACTCTTTGACATGTAGCACTAATAAAATAAATGCTCAAAATTCTCTAATTAATTTTTATTTAACATTTTCTTCTTTTCCTTCCGACCCATGTTACCAAAAATATTAAAACACTTAAAAACTCAAATTAAATATTAGCCAAGTTGGAAATCTCAGCCCACAGTAAAAGCAAAATCCATGGACAGCAAATGAAAAAGCCATGGATGAATTTTCTAAAGCCTGTAACACAGATTTTCGACAATGAATCACAAACTAAACATTGTGATACATAAAATTTTAAAAATCCTCGTCCATTGTTCATCATCTAAGTTCAACTCATCCTCATCTTCCTCCCCCTATCTATTATTGGGGAAAAAAAAAAAACAGCTTAAAACAATATTTATCGGTCTATCTTCCCTCTCCTCTTTGATTTTCAAAACAAAAACAAACAATTATAACATTAATACAAAGTTTCTTTATTGTTTATTGATCTTAAATCATAACACCAATGAATTTCTTTATTGTTTTGTCGTTGCCTGAATAACTGAGGTGAAAGCAATAGAAAAGACTTCATGTTAGATAATGGATTTGAAGAGAGGAAACTTTTTTTTGTTACTGTTTTGGTATTGTGGGAATGTAGAAAATTGCATTTTGATTGTGGATGAAAGAGAAAAAAACCATTAACAGTAAATCTTAGCCATAGAATTTATTAGCGCCACATGTCAAAAGAATGTAAAAAGTTCGAGTAAAACTTAGGTCAGAAATTATCCTAATCCATTAAAAAATTGCAACGTAGCAATGTTTGTAGAGTTTTTCCTATCATCAATTGACAATACAATACAATACAAATTATTAGTGATGCGAATCCACTTTGAAGGCGAAGGCAGCTAGAACAGGACCATCAAACAATATTTTGTCTGCCAGATTGGGGAGCAGTGTCAGTACGGTAACGGCAACACCAACAGCAATAGCAACGGGCAGCAAATCAAGAGACTAATTTCAATATTATTTTCTTACTTTTCTCGTAACACGCTCTTAGCTTTTCGGAAATGCCTAGAAGACATCTTCTTATCAAGCGGGAAATTTCGGGGCCGTATGTGGAAAAAAGCAAGTCACGTAGGAGGGGATACTGCCAAGACAAAAACAAGAACAGAGGCACTAAAGCTGATGCACACACTAAATAAAGGAACCCACGATTTCTGTCACCAAACACCAGATAAACAGTGGAACAAAGGGCTACCATGAGCGCTGTTTGAGAGAGGAACAACATAACAAGACCCCACATAAACTTTGTTGGAACAGAGTAAAGAAAATCATGTTCGGAATACCGCGCAGTGAGGACGGACAAAAATATTATGATGGCAGCAACTGATGAGAACAGAGAAAATGAATCTGAAACGGCAAATATCTTGAAGGTTTTCCGTTTGCGAAAATTTGGTTCACCCTCATAACTGTAGTCACCTGGTACTGTGATGGCTGCTGCAAATACTATCGTGGCAAAGAGTGCTGCAGCAAGTGAGAATGAGGTTGCAGAACCTTTCATCCATTTCTCACCTTCTTTGACAAGTCTTTTATGTTCTTCCAAAAATGCCATTCGTGGAGTTTCTCCTTTAGAATTTTTTTCCTCTTTGTAATTAGGCGGCACAAGTTTCTCCACTTCCTATAGAAAAGATAAAATCCATAATTAACTGTCTTATATCATCTTAATATATTTGACGTAGTATTGGGTGCATGCAATGAGTCAGCTTAAATTTCTTTAACAAACTAACGAAAGTAAATTTAAGTAAAATCATTTAATACCTGAACTTAAACTGATATTTATAACTTTATAAATAAAAAAAGTATGTAGTGATTCAACATCAATATATAGTCTAATAGTTACATTCACAAATACATGAAAAAAGAACATTAAGAATAGATCCATATATACCAAACGTTCCTGTAAAATTTGGATTTTATTTATCTAGTTGAAATATGAGGAATCAAACTTAACTTTTAACTGTGATGTTCATGTAAAATTTGGATTTTATTTATTTAGTTGAAATATGAGGAATCAAACTTAACATTTAACTATGATATATACCATAATAAATTACTACTTGAACTAGAAGGTAAAGTTGACTAGAAGGTAAAATCTTGACTAGAAGGTAAACCCCTAATACCAGCCTTGTATCACTATATATAAAAGTCTTACCTTGTACCATTGTAACTCATGTTGCATCTGTATAGCAGCACCAGGAATGCGGTTTAGTTGACTTTTGGGTGCCAAATTTCCTGCCAAGTGCAAGATATTGTTCTTGTCAACGTCTTGAGACATCAATAATAATTCTTTACAACTACTCATATGATATATGAGTTGGAATACGTTTTCTCGACGCTGCAAAACTGCCAAATGGAACATATTATGATTCTTTTCATTTGTAAACCAGATTGCATCAGGAAATGAATCTATAATCACTTCCACAACTTCGGAAATCCCCAATTCTGCTGCTAAAAGGAAGGCTTGTTTTAGGATTGAGGAAGATCTTCCGTAGTTGTCTTGATTCTCTATAATTTCCTTGCACAATTGTTTGACAAGTAGAAGTGCTTGGTGATGCGTCGACTTTGTCTTTCCTTTTTCCTTCTTATAACATACAACTGCAAATTAAATAGACTCAACAATGAAATAACTATGTTGCCGGGTAGAATATTGCAAGTCAGAAGAAAACAATTTATTAAAGTCTCACAAAATATGAGTCCATTTAAACCTTACTGCTTACTCCTAGTACGAGGTTATATAAATCACTTTATTTTCTGAAATACCCAATGTTTTCAGAAAATTTTAGGGGAGGAAAAAAAACTCCCCTAAAATTTTTAAAAGTCACTAAAATGTATTTAAGAAAAAGAGAATATATTCTTATAAAGAGGTGAGTAATATTTTCTCAAAATAATAAATGTTGAAAATTTAAATCATCCTTTACGGGGTTCAATTTTTGTTTAGCTAACACAGCAAAATGTTTTTGAAAGTTGCTTGAAGGAGTTTTTCAAATTCAAATAATTTAATAAACAGATTCTCTTAGGATGCCAATTTCTAAAACATAAATTGTGAAATAAATTTATATTAATAATAATTTAAACTTAAAAAAGAAAATTGGTTGTGTCATTGGACAATAAGCATTAGCCGATCTATTAAATTAAAAAATTTCAAATACGCTATTCTAATATCAGTTGAATAACAGGGATATTCATGAGTTATTGGATGATAGAAGATTACTAATTATTAAATATATACTCACACTTGAATAATTGGTAAAACTTTGGCTTTTCCCGTTTTTCTACCGGAATTGCAGACAGCTTTCCTGCTATTGCACTCCATAATAACAGAGATAGTCATGAGAGATCTGATAATAGCAGTGGTGGACCTTGGAAATTTTAAATTATTTTCCATTAAAAATTTATGAAAGATTATAAATAATTACATAATATATATGAATTTGACCAAGTCAAAACCTTATCAAGTAAGTCTAATATTATCATTGATTTTTGTAAAACTTTTAATATTAGAATTATAATAATCAAGTGAGAGTAAATTAAAATATTATGAACAAAGATAAATTAAAAGCTAATATTACAAATAAAAACAATCCATATCACAAATTAATTGATTTTTATATAAATAAATATGAAAACATTGAAAACTAAATAAGTGTTGCATTCAAGTAACGAAAAGTTGGTTTTTTTTTTTTTTTTCCAAAAAAAAGTTTTAGACACTTAACTAAAAAATAATTGTAATTAACACGATATTTAATGTTTCAAAATGTATAAAATCTTTCTTCAATTCATACACAAAAGGAATTTTCACCAATTTTTTGTTTAGAAGTACAAAAAAATTAACTTTCTTCATTATAATTTGTAAAATAGTTTTAGAAATGAATTTGTAAATCGTGCTAGATGAACTTTAAAATACTTCTCAATGTTTTATAAAAGAAATTGTATTCACCTCCTAAAGTTGCCATCCTAGTTTTGTATTCAGTAATTATGAAATATATACTCACGTTTATAATCTTTGAAGAATTGCAAAAACTTTCGCTTTGTATTTTGTCCACTCCGAAATGCAGACGGCTTTCCTGCTATTGTACTCAAAAGAGACTCAACAGTTGGTAACTGCTTTGTAGCTAAATTTCCATGTTTTTTAAGCAATTTTAGTGCCAAACCTGAGACATAATGATGGGCAAGAAAAAATGGCTTAAAATATGCATCAATATAGTAATATGAAACTTGCAGTACTAACTAAGTTTCTAATTGGCAATGCATTGAACGCATGAAAAATATATATCTTACCATAAAATCCAGCAATTATAAGCGAATTTAGGAAAGAAACAACAGATTCATCACTAAAACGTGTTGAATCTACATAAAAGTTCAAGTAACTGTCGCTGAATTGCAATAAATATTTAATCATCTTCTTTTGGCCATGTCGAGCTGCCTCAGTCCCTCATTTATTCTGGCCACGGAATTTCTGTCAGTAAAACTTAGGAATTTCTTTTATTCTTTTTTAAGTTCGTACTACTTACTCCTTTCCTTATCTGGTAATATGGTAGGCTGTGATGAAGAAGAGACGATTAGTTGTAATGAAGAAGAGACGATAAGTTGTAATGAAGAAGAGATATTGTAGTTTGGCAGCGCGTACCTGTGTATTGCCTTGGAACTCTTCTTTCAAAGTGTTCCATGCTTCTTTCGCCGTCTTAACTTTATAAATTTTTGAACAAATGTTATCATCCACCGCTTGTTGAAGGATGTAAAATGCTGCTGCATTTTTCTGCCAACTTGCTTTCAACTGCTTTCGTAACCAATCTGGAGTGAAGCTGGTGATCTCTGGGATAGAGAGTTCTTCATTAACAATGTCCCATAAGTCTTGGGAGAAAAAATATGTCTCCATCTTAGTACTCCATATATCATATTTTTCCCCAGTAAAGATGGGGATAGGAAGAATAGGTGGATTTGAATTCACTTTGGCCATCATAAGGGATTGAATGTTTAGCCTTGAACCCAACACCTCGCCAATGTATATATATATTGATGGACAGGGCTCTTCTACCAAATGGGATTACCGGATTAGCATTTGGTAGCTGATTGGTTGGTAATTACTCGAAAGAATGTGTGAAGGGGTTGTGCATTTGTGATGGCTATATCCTTTTAAAATCATTGCAAATCATAAAAGTTGAAGTCTTAATGCAAAGTTGGAGTTACCGAAAAAAAAAAAAAGTTTCATTTTGTATAGATATAATTATTATTGTCATGAATTTCTTCATTTTGTAGATATAATTTGCATAAATACTTGGATGATTCTCATTTGTTAATACAAGAAAACATAAGTAAAGGGTCAACTAGTGTCATGTGTGAACATTTTATAGATACAATTTGCATAAATACTTCGACACCCTTTAATGGAGATAACCATTCACATAAGTAAAGATTTTGTAATCTACACTATCCTTTAATTTACAAGGAAGAACAAAATCTTTTTCTATCAAGTCTTGGTCAACACGCGCCATATTTCAATATTTGATTTATTTGTATTGTGCCTCTATTTTCTAATCTAGTAGATCTTTTAAAATTTAATATTAATCCTATATTTTATTAAATTTAATAAAGAAACACGATTAGTTAGGATTTTAATGTCTATTAATTTAGTTACATTTTGGGGGCCAAGGGATAAATCCAAAAACTGAGAGGGTTGAAAATGAATTTAGAGGGACTAAATATAATGTTTCTATATAATTTTTTAAAAGTTCGTCTATATAATTTTTAAAAAGTTCGTGGAGCCATTTTTTTTAACTTAATTTAGAACACTAACCATCATTCGGAACCCTTGAATTAGGTCTTTTATATACAAACATTGCGAACACGCCATATGAGATGCAAAATTTGGAAATAAATATTTAGGATGATTAGCATTACTCTTATCATAAATTCTTCCATTTTATAATTCTTTAGATTACATAGATTATATTTATTTGCACAAGTACTTTGATGATTCTCATTTGTTAATACATAGAGTTGAATATGGATATCTTAAGTCAATACCTAAATACGATCTTCAATAGCATGACAGAAGATATTCATATGAGAAAACATAAGTAAAGGATCTCTACTTAAAAGCCTCTAAAGATACAATTACGTGAACAACTTTTTTCTTTCTAATTTGTCTTAATGTTTAATCCATTAAGAACTCTCTAGATAATTGCAAATTTACATAAGGGCAATCCAAATATGAAAATATATAGAAAAAATTTGTTAAATTTAATCGACATGAATGTAAATTATTAACAAACTTTTCATCTTTTTTTATAAAATAGAGAAAAAAAAAAAATCTAAAATACTACAAGTACTATATCACATATATCACCATTAAGTGAATTTGTACCACCTCTGAGTTTTTTCTCTTTCATATATCTTTAGATTAAATATGATTGATAATTACTTGACATGTATGTCTTTACTTATTTTTTATCACATCAGTTATACCATCATGGCATCAGAGACTTTCTCTTATAATTTACACAAATGATTCAGGCTTTACCAAAATGGGGCCAATATGTAATGTTTAATGGATGACAAGGCCAGAGATTTAAAAGTCACATTTTTGGGGCCAAGGTTAATTTCAAAAACCAAGGGGGCTACAGTGAAAATTTAAATTAGAGGGACCAAATATTTTCTATATAAATTTTAAAAAAATCGTGGGCCTCGGATAGCCTCCGCCTTTGGGTTGGAACACTAAACAACTACCATTAACCTATATTTAATCTAATGGTTGAGTGTGTATATTTTCAAAAGCTATATATCACTGACGCCCAATAATTTCCTTTAAATCTTAAACAATTACACAATCTTTCAACTATACCTAACAAAATATAATAATAATAAAGCATTATACATAGAACAAGAAATCAAATGAAACTTTGATTTCAAGAATCGTAACTTTTAATTTTAAAGTTTTTCTTAACATATTAACCTAAAGAAAATATTCTCGAGAAATAACAAATATGAATTATATATATTAATTTATTTCACATACAACTTTTGGGGCAAAAAACACTCAGTAAGGAATACATACATGACATAATAAATCCAGATGAACATGAAATTTTTTTTTTTTTTTTTTTGAGTGATTACCAATTTTCAATCTTAATTGGTAATTCTCTCATCAAGAAGTCCTAATATAATTTTATCACGATCAGGCATTGTGTCATGTTCGACCCAAGCTCAAGTCCGTATAAAGCTCAATATCTAATTAAAAAGGATTAACCCAAACTGTACTCAGAAGTATCAAAGAATTTGCCAAAGAATATTTTCAAAAGTTTCCAAAATATTCCTTCACCAAAAAGGCAACAGAATAAGACTATGATCATATTGCTTACATACTTAATCTTAGCCATTCATTTTAGTGGATATGTACAGGTCTGTACCGTCGGATCTACTCATAAAATCCTATATAAAGCTAGTTAGTATTAAATTTAATTCATTCCAAACATCCTATTCAATTAAGAGCAATACAATAGTGTCTCTCCATTTCGTGTTCTTATTTTTCTTTGAGAGTTTGTGGGTTTATTTAGGTTGACTTAGTGTTCGATCTCTTGTTTGTGCACTAAGGCCTCACAATTCTTATAGGGTCGTGACAATTGCTACCGTTAGATTTGAGTTGTGAAATATCATTTCAGTTTACTAAGTTGAAACCAACAATATTTAGCATAGTCATGACAAAATTAATGTAAAGACATCTTGGCTAGATAACTTAATATCCCTAATTCTCTAATTAGGGTGTCTTAGTATATAATTTTATCAGGACCATGCATTTATATCATTGGATTTGAGTTGTAAAATTATTTTAATCCAATATAATGAACACTTGTTTTTTTTTTTTGGTTTGATTTTCTAATCTACCACATAAAAAAAGATATATATTATAAATTAATACCTTATGCTTTACTTGAACAAGGAAACACGAAAGTCTTTTTTTTTTATTTTGTAATGTAGTAAATTTATTAAAATTTAATATTAATGCCTTACTCTTATCTTATTAACTTTAATAAAGAAACACGGTTAGTTAGAATGTTTATGTCTAATAATTTAGTGATAATCTCCTTAATACATATGTAACAAAATAACAAATCGACAAGCGTGGCACCTTTTCCTATAATAATTTTTAATTGCTTCCGTAGTAATAAAATTTTTATTTCATTAGAGGGATATTATCATTGAGGTATACAACTTTACTGAATTATTATAAGAGAATACAAGTTTCAAAAATATCAATTAGAGGCCCCTTCTGGTCGTTGCCCATGTGGAGTGTGCTTTCTTGATGGGTGGATCCATGTGCATTTACATATAAATACTTTTGGGTTCTTATCACTATTTTAAAACCCGACTCAGCCTGACTGGTTCAATTGGTCGGACCGGGAACAGGGGAACTCGTTAGGCCGATTATGCCAAAAAACGGTTTTTAGCAATTAACTCGCGACCAAAGGAGCAATAGTGAACCGCCGGTCCAACTGAACTGGTGCCAAAACTAGGTTAATGAAAAATGAAATTGTGAAATCCCTACATTATTCTCATTTGGCATCTTGAAACTTCAAAGTAAATTTCTTCATAATCTTCACTGAAATCTTCTATTCCTGCCGTTTGCCATTTACTTTGTTGTTGTTTTCATAGTTGTCATTTTGGGAAGTTGAGAAAAGGTGAATGAGAGATGGGTTAGAAAGGGATTTGGGTTTGGGTTTATAGAGATGGGTCCCTTTTATATTCAGCAAAATCGCCTTCTTGCTTTGAAGCTGACTTGACAGAAATACTCTTCTTTTCTTTTGTCGTGAAGTCTGATTTTCTCTTCGATTAGTAACCGATTCTAGGAGTACAAAAGAAAGTGTTTTTCCTTGCTCAATTGAATTCTATTGCCACTTCATCGGAGAGTGTGATAACATAGTATGAAAGAGTAAGAGTGATGAAATGTAAGGCTAGGGTTTGAAAAACGAAGGGAAGGGAAACAATGGTTTATTGGTTAAGTGGCTTTGGTTTGAGAGTTGGATTGGGAAATTTGATTCATTAATCTAGGGTTGTCTGCCTAGATAGCAGGGTGTATTACTTACAAGGACTAATAAAATTTCTCAAGGGTATGTGTGTTGGATTTCAAACATGCTGGATATAACATTCAAACCATCAACCCAACCAATCCAATTAGTTGACTAGTTAACCCAGGAACCTACCCTTTGACTGGGTCAAGCCGCAGACCTAGTTTGAAAACATTGGTTCTTATAAACACCCCCCAGGAGATAAGCATGTATAATCGCCCCATGGTTTCTAAAAAGTATTTTATATCTTCATATAAGGGGACTTTATAATACTTTACTAGCAGGGTAAATGATAATTTTAAGGGGGTCAATGATAAACTGGGGAGGTGCATACTACTTTTGCAAAACCCTAGATGTGTTTAAAACTTTCTAATCTCTCAAGGGATAGATGATAAAACCTTAAATATCTTTTTCCTTTTATTAAGCTGATGATTTAAAATGTTTATATATAAATTCGTGACATTACACAAAAGAGTCTATAAATTTAATAAATTAATATAATAAATATTCCATATATAATTACGAATAAATGGCGTAACATTATATTATATAATAAATAAGAGTTTGTATAACCAAATGTATAATATTACTTTTAATTAATTTATAAAAGTAAGAGAGTTTTAACTGAATAAAAATAAAAATAAAAATGAGACCCCTATATTAAAAAAACATATACATTGTTTATGATGCATAATTATGTCTTGAGATAGAGCCTAGTTGTTATCTTTTGAATCCTTTCTATGAGAAGGAGGTAACTCACATTAGAAGAATCGGTTCTGATAATTTTCTTTTCTTCTCTAAAACCATTCATATTTGCTTATAGTTAAAACTCATGTAACATGTAATCCTTACTTTTAGCCGATAAAATATATATATATATATATATATATATATATGTTTATTTTTAATTATTTGTTTTTATTATAAATATTTTGTATTTTATATTCATTCGTGTATTCTATTAATTGTTAAGATTACACGTTACATTCGAATATATATATATATATTCGAATGTAACGTGTAATCTTAGCAATTAATAGAATACACGAATGAATATAAAATACAAAATATTTATAATAAAAACAAATAATTAAAAATAAACATAAATAATAGTACACTTCTTTACCTCTTGATTATATGGTTGGCAGAGCAAAAGTACCTAACCGCATTATAATAGAGCTTTGTTTTTCAAAAGCACACACTTTTAATTGGATACACTCATCACACAGATCCTTAATAAAAACATTCTACTACCAGTAATGTTACCGTCTGGGCAAAAGGATTAACCAAAATATAAGCTACTTACCTAACGAGGTAGTTAAATCCTTACAGGATGTAAATCTAAATTACGTAACATTGCTGGGCTTTGTTTTAGAAGTCCATGTTTCATCCTTTGAGCTCACAACCCAAGTTGTCTTGTATCAACCTACTCATAATCAAAAGATCGAAGCATCGTTTTTCACTTCTCAGCCAATTTGTTATCCCAATTTTTCTTTCCTCTCAAAGAACATGACAGAATCATTTCCGTCAACGATTGCAGCTAATATTTTGACGGAGATAGACTTCCTTACTTCCTCAGACAGTGGCTTGCCATCAAGGATTCGAAAAGAAATAATGAAGCCCAAAGAAATCTTGTTCAAGGGGAAAGCTGTACTCATGAAGGCAGAGGCACAACAGTTACATAACTGCGAGCTGCAGGACGGGCTCGAAAAGCTTTCAGAACTGTTGTATGACGCTGAGGATCTGTTGGATGAATTGAAGTGTGAAGTACTGGCCAAACAGGTAGGCAAACTCAATATCGTCAAATATTATCTTAAAATCAAGGTGACTAGAAAAAGATTAGATGAAAAGATAGGTAATATTCGGTCTATATCTATAGCTGTTAAGGATCCAGACACCAAGCTTGTTTCTTCAGGAGAGAATGTAATGAACCATCCCTTTGTCGGTACTTCTCAAGTTTTTGGACGAGACACTGATGAGGAAAACATTATAAAATTGTTGATGAAACCAAACAAAGAAGCTGAAAGGGTGTCCGTAATTCCTATAGTTGGATTAGGAGGTATTGGAAAAACAAACTCTTGCCAAACTAGTGTCTGATGACAAAAGGATAGATGAGCACTTCAAGTTAAAAATGTGGGCAAGTGTACCTGAGGACTTTGATATGATTAAGATAATGAAAGAAGCCTATACTTCTGCAACTGGTAAAGATCAGTCTGAATTAGGAGTCGTTGAGTTAGAAGACTGCTTGTTAAACGAATTGGCTGATAAGAAATTTTTGCTCATCTTGGATGATGTGTGGAATGAAAATTATGATCGATGGAACAAGTTAAAACAATTATTCACGCAAGAAGCAAACGGAAGTAAAATTGTGGTTACAACGCGTAGTAGCCAAGTTACGTCAATAACGGGCACTGTTGATAGTTATCTTTTAGAAGGCCTTTCTCCGGAGGATTGTCTGTCGTTGTTTGTGAAATTCGCGTTTAGGGATGAAACTGTTAGATTTCTAGTAGTTAGGGTTTAGTTAATCCTAATTTAGCAGTAAATCGTTTATCAACTCAGCAATCAGAGATATAACAAATGAAGGTAAGGAATCAATCAAGCATAATCAAGACACATAAATTATAGTGGTTCAGCTTTACAGCCTATATCCACTCTCCAAGGCTCACAATAGGGCATTCAACACAGTACAGAGTAAAGATCAGACCAGAACATAAAAGATTACAATAAGGAAAGAACATACCCAAATTCGAAAACCCTCGGTTTTCTTCAATCTGAAATATGCCTCTTCCTTCAGCATCAGCATGTGTTAAATACACATGCTCCCTTCCTAGATCGTCATCCACCTGTCTTTGATTACTCCATAACTGTAAGATGAAATCGATTCTGGAACTTTCTCTTAGGTTAAGAGTTGTCAAACCAAAATAGAAATGAGAGAGATGAAGATTGTGTAAAAGTGTGATAGTCTAACAAATAACTCATTAGGTTTGGCCAAAACGATGTTGCTCCATGTGTTTGACTTTTAACAAAGAAAGCTGACTTCCATTGTGGCAAATGAGAAGCCACATCATCACAATTCTCCACCTTGGCTTCTTGATTTGTCACGCCATCTGGCCTTGGAATTCATAAGTTCACTCTAGAACTTGAAGAAGGCTCATATAGAGCCTGTGTTTTCAAATGGAACAAGTTTTGTGAACATATCAGCAGGATTACGAGAACCATCAATTTTTTTAATCTCGATTTCTCCTCTTTCGATCATTTCTCTAATGAAATGAAGACGAACATCTATGTGTTTAGTTCTTTCATGGTATACTTGGTTTTTGCAGGGGTGAATTGCACTCTGGCTATCACTGTTAATCTTCATTGTCTGTTGCTCAATACCCAACTCATTTATCAATCCTTTCAACCAGGTAGCTTCCTTTGCTACCTCGGTTAATGCTACATATTGTGACTCTGTTGAAGATAAAGTAACCATATGTTGCAGCTTGGATTTCCAACTGATAATATTTCCCCACAAAGTGAAAACAAATGCAGATGTAGACTTCCTTGTGTCTATGTCTCCTGCATAATTTGCATCACAAAAACCCTCAACACAATCATCATAACTTTGTTTTTTTTTTTTTTTTTCTAAAAACAATGCCTGCTGATTTGGTTCCCTGTAAATATCTCATAATCCATTTAAGAGCCATCCAGTGAGTCTTTCCTGGATTGCTCATAAATCTGCTTACCAAACTTATAGTGAAGCCTAAGTCTGGTTTTAAACACATCATTAGGTACATTAAGCTTCCTAATGCACTTGCATAAGGAATTTCTACCATCTCCAGCTTCTCTTGTTCCATCTATGGACTCTGCTCATGTGAAGGTTTCAAGTGAGCACCAAGAAGATTTTGAACAGATTTAACATCTTGCATATTGAATTTCTTCAGGATTTTCTCAGTATAGTCCTGCTGTACTAACTTTAGACTTCTAGAAGTTCTATTTCTGATAATAGAAACACCAAGAATTTTCTGAGCCTGACCCAGCTCTTTCATTTCAAACTTGGTGTTCAGTAAACTCTTCAGTCGACACAGCACAGATTTATCATGGCATGCCACAAGCATATCATCCATATACAACAGTAAAAAATTTGAGTTAGTTTAGAGATTCTTTTAAAATAAAAACAGCTGTCAAAATTACATCTATTAAACCCAATTTCTATCATAAAAGAATCAAATTTCTTATACCACTGTCGTGGTGACTATTTCAAACCATATAATGATTTTTTTAATAAACAAACTTTACCTGTAGCACTGTTGTATCCTTCAGGTAGCTCCATTAAGATGCTTTCTTCCAAATCCCCATACAAGAAAGCTGTCTTCACATCGAGTTGTTCTAATTCTAGGTTGAATTGAACTACAAGAGAGATTAGTACCCTGCTAGATGTATGTTTGACCACTGGAGAAAAGATTTCATTATAGTCAACCCCCTCTACTTTTGTAAACCCCTTTGCAACTAACCTAGCCGTGTACCTAGGTGCATCCTGAGCTGTTAAACTTGGTTTTCTTTTAAAAATCCATTTGCATTTTACCACTCTACAATCTTCTGGTTTATCAACCAAGGTCCATGTATTATTCTTCACTAGAGAATCAAATTCTTCTTCAATGGCTTTCTTCCATTCCAACTTTTCAGATCCTGAGACTGCTTCTTGGAATATCTTAGGTTCATCATTCATTTCTCCCTCTAGAAGTGCATATGCAACCAGGTCTACATATCCTAGTCTGTTGGGAGGTCTGATCGTTCTCCTAATTCTATCTCTTGATAATTGATAATATGTCAAGTTTGATGTATCTACACCTGAGTATTTTGACCTACTTCATGATCAGCAATTGGTTCATCCTCATGAGTATTTAATTCCTCAACTCCACCTTGATTCAAACTTGAACTGAAACTGGAGTCCTTCACTTCTAGTTCTAAGTGTTATACTCCTAAATGGAAATTCTCAGATTCTTCAGGTTTACCTCCTAAACCACTTCTAGTTCTAAGTGTTTTACTCCTGGATGGAAATTCTCAGATTCATCAGGTTTACCTCCTGAACCAGGTAGGATATTTTCTATGAAAATGACATCTCTACTCACAATACATTTCTTAGATTCTAAATTCCAGAACTTATAGCCTTTAACCCCATCTAGATATCTTAAGAAAATGTATTTAATGGCTCTAGCTTTTAATTTTTCATCTTTTATATGAACATAAGCTAGGCACCCAAACACTCTAAGATTTTCCAGGTTTACGGGGTGACTAGTCCATCTTTCAAGTGGAACCCTAAAACCTATAGCTGAAGAAGGTGTTATATTAATCAAGTAGACCACAGTGTGGGTTGCTTCTGCCCAGAACTTAACTGAAAGTTTAGAACATGACAGAATACTTCTTACCTTTTTCTAGAATAGTTCTATGCATCATTTCACAGGGACCATTCTATTGTGGAGTGTGTCTCATTGTCTTATGTGTAACTATCCCATTGTCTCTATAGTAGTTATTGAACTCCTCATTAACAAATTCCAATCCATTATCAGTTCTCAACTTCTTCAATTTCTTTCCACTTTGATTTTCAACCATGGTTTTCCATTCCCTAAATCTAGGAAAGGCTTCATCCTTGGTTTTAAGGAAATAAATCCAAACATACCTAGAGTAGTCATCTACAAGACTTATAAAGTATCTACATCCTCCAAGTGAATAATGCCTTGATGGTCCCCATATATCAAAATGCACATACTCAAGCGGTGACCTTGAGTAGTGTTGTCCAGTCCCAAATTTTACTCTGCTCATTTTTCCAAATACACAGTATTCACAGAAAGTCAGGTACCCTGTTTTATCCCCACACAGTAGGTTTTGTTTACTAAGTTCTCCTAAACCTTTTTCACTGACATGGGCAAGTCTTTGGTGCCACAAGGTAGTTTTATCTAGCTCCTCAGTTGACCCAATATTAGCCACTCCACTATCAGTCCTACCTTTCAACACATACAAACCATTCCTTTTTTCAGACTTCATAATAACCAAAGACCCTTTCAAAACACTAAGACTCCCATTGACAGCCTTATAACTTAGACCTATAGAGTCTAAAGTTCCAAGAGAGATAAGATTTCTTTTGAGGCCATGGATATACCTAACATCAATAAGGGTCTTAGTTAATCCATGTAAACTACAGCAAGCTTCAGCTCAAGCAGCTAAAGTTTTCAGTTCCTAACGGCACTTTCTGCATTTCTCTCAACAAACTGCAAGTGGATCAAAATTAGTTGAACAAGTTGACAAGTTGTGGCTGATATTGTTGTGCAAGTTGGCAAGGCTGTTACTCTTTTGTTATGCAAGTTGCATGGGTTGTTATTCTTTAGTTATGCAAGTTGACAAGTTGCCATGCAACTTGCATCAACGTAAACAATCCAATGGTTAGAGTAAACCTGTGTAACATAGAATGTGAATATGAGATTCCAGAAAAATAGGTCAGCACTTGACTTGCTTTCTTTATAAATTGTAGATGAAAAAGACAGATTGATTCAGAAAAAATCAGTAAGAAATAAATGCTTCAGTACTGATTCTTTTACTCTCTGTTTCAGAGTCTTTGTACTCTGTTTTTTCTTCCTTTTTCTTTTGTAAGTTTTCATGGTATTAGAGCCTTAATTGACAAACGTCAATGGCTGATCCTAAGTCATCTAAATCAACTTAAATCAACACTGATGGAAAGATCTCAAGCTCAATATCATCTTTTCCTCTGGCAAATGCTCTACCAAACATCACCGTGAAACTAGGAGAGAAGAACTATGCCTACTGGAAATCACAAGTACTCCCTGCATTGAAAGCCTATGAACTGGAAGGATTTGTTACAGGTGATAAACTGTGTCTTTCACCTTACTTAATCTCTCAAAATGATAACTCTGGAAAAACTGTTAACACAGAGTACACTATCTGGAAAAAGTTAGATCAATTTCTGTTTGGCTGGTTGATATCTTCCATTTCTGAAACAATGTTTAGGCATGTAGCAAATTGTGAAACAAGTTTTGATGTTTGGAAAACTTTAGAAATGCATTTTCTTACTGATTCAAAAGCTAGAATACTGCATCTGTGAAATCTTCTACAAACAACCAGAAAAGAAAACTTGAGCATCAATGACTATGTACTGAAAATGAAAGAAGTTGTTGGATCATTAATTGCTAGTGGAGTAGTTGTTAACGATGAAGAGTTGCTTATGTACATTCTTGATGGTCTGGGAACTGAATATGACACAATTGTAGCAAATTTAACCTCACGAAGTGGAGATGTTTCTCTTCAAGAAGCACAGTTCCTATTACACAAGCATGAAATGAGGTTGGAGAAACAACACTCAGCGTATATAGGATTTCATGAAGCAATAATCTTTCTTGCAAATAAACAGACCATGAACTCTCAGCCACATCAACAAAACTCAAATGCAACAGCTCATCAACCAAACCAACCTGTGTATGGAAAATCTCAAGGACAGATAGAATCACAGAATGTCTATTCAAGTGGTTA